CATTTAAAAATTATTTAAACCTGACAAAATTTCTTTAATAAAAATTAAGTATTTATTAGCAAAAACTATATAATAATGTCTTATTATAACTAAATCTTTACAAATATATATCAAATTTAACTATACTAATAATAATATTAATTAAAGCATATAATATACTTGTAGCTATAAAAAGTGAAAAGTAAAAAAAAAGAAACTTTTAAATTGCATAAACTACTAATATTATAAAAATATATAAATAAAAAAATTTTTTTAACAATAATAATTTTTTCTATTTTAATAATTTTAATATAATTTCAAGTAATTTACTTATTAATAATTTTAATATAACTTCAAATAATTTACTTGTTTATCTATATCTTTCTTCTCAAAAATTTGATAAAATAGTTGATAACTATATGAATAGTTAAAAAAAAATAAAAAATATATAATAGATTATACAAAATATAATTATTACTTGACTTTATTATAAAATTCTTCAAGTATATATAAAAATTCTAAATTTAAATATTAGATACTTCATATATTTATAGTAGTCAAAGTTAAAAATATTGAGAAGCTAAATATTAAAATAGAAAAATTATAACTGTAGTATACAAATTTGATCTATTGAAGATATTTATATTGTAATTTGTTAAGCTTATTAGAACACTAAATATAGTAAATAAGAGAAAATATAGTTGAAAATAAGATATTTATTAATAAAAAAAAAGTTAAATAACATATTTTATAATATAGATTTAACAAAGATATTGCTTTATTTCTCAAACTATTATTTAAAATACTATAAAATAATATAATATATACATATATAACATGCAAATAAATAAGTATCTGCAATAAAATCTATAATTGCAAAAAAATTTCTTATATATATTCAAGTAAGAATTTTTATAATTAAATTTTTTTTGAATTAAAATTTTATTTTATTTTAATTTTAAATTAAGGTAGATATAATAAATATAATAGTAGTTCTAGATAAAGAATTTAATTATATAATTTATATTTATAGTTATTTCATGCAATTCTTTACTACTGAATCTGCAATAACAAAATCAGCACAAAAAGCTATAAGTTTCTTTTTGCAACTTTATTTATTGTATAAATTTTCTGTAGTTTTATATTCAGATAACAAGTAAGAGTTTGTAAATACTATTATAAAAGAAACTATAAGACTTTGGCCTTCAATTAAATTTATTCATAAAAGACTAAGATATTCTTAATATCAAAACTTTATTAAAAAAGTGAATAATATTCTTTAAACTAAACTTAGAGTGTGAATAGAAAAAATATAATAATCAGATTGAAATACTAGATTGCTATTTATTATTTGTATATATTAGTATGCAAATAAAATAAATAAATCTAAAATAATATACTATAAGAGTTATATTTTATTTAAATAGGAGCTATGAATATTTAAGTATATAATTCAACTAAGTTATTACTATATTAACTTGTATTCAGACAAGAATTATAATCAGAATTACTAATAATTTTAATATTATATCAGCAAAATATTATACTCAAAGATAATATTCTATTAGAAAATTAATTAATTTAGCAAATAATATACTTTTAAATAATCAATCAATTTTATCTAATTACATATTTTTATAGATAATCAATTAACTTCAACTTGTAATACAATTTTAAGTAACTAATTAAATTTTATTAATCTTAGTAATACTGAGAATAATAATAATAATATTAAATAATTTTTATTTTATATTAATTATTTAAATATCATATATAATATTATACTTTATTATTTAAAATTTTTAAAACCAAGTTCCCTATTTGATAACAGTAATGACAATAGTAGTAGTAACAGTAATTATAATCAACAATAGTGATAAAGAAAATTTAACTGATAGTGAAAGTGTTATATTACAAAGATATCTATGAATAAAAAAGAAAAAATAACCTATATCAGATTTTAATTATAATAATAATAATAATAATATAAATTTAGAACAAGTATGCATTATAATAAATAATATATTTAATGCAATTCCAACAATTAATAATTTTTTGTTTTATTAAAACTCATTATATAGATTCAATTCAATTAATTTAGAAGATAATTATTATGATGTATTAGAAATTATGTCTTAAGCAAGTTATACTAACACATATAAAGAATTATCTTAAAATACTATACCTGATGAAAAAGGTTTATTATCTCAAGTTAACTACTTGCTAATTAAAAATTCAACTCGAACAAGCTTTAACTGCCACCAACCAATAAGAGATGCAGCAAAAAACCAAATCAAGAAAAGTCATGAAATAATTTGTAATATTATAAAAAAATACCATAAAACTAAAGCACTTTAAGTTTAAATTTAGATGATTTGGTAAAAATCTAAATACCTGATATTGACAAATGAAAAATAGATCAGCATACACTGCCCTGTAAGGTTATTCATAAAAAGCCTAATCTCAATTCATATGAGATTGGATGTGAATTTGGAGTTTTAAACAAGTAGTATCCAGCAAATGAATTGAAACCATTGGGTACTAACGATTATCCAGCATTTGACATTATTCCACTTAGTACTTTAATCTCTCTAAGAAATGTGCGGCTCAACAAAATTTGTCATGTCCAATACAACCACCACATCCAATACAATCACCACGTCCAATTCAACTACCATGTCCAATACAACCCACACGTACAACTGAAAATAATTCAATGACTCAAGAGCAAACGACTGAACAAGCGAAAAGCAAAAAATTTAAAGTCAACAGCTGTCATTGCAACAAAACTAACTGCAGAAATAAGAGCTGTTCATGCCGCAAAAATAATGCCCTATGTACTAGACGTTGCGGCTGTGTATTACGAGGCGAATGTAATAATTATTAATATGAACTATAACATTATTTTGTTATTAGAATTATTTTATTACAATATTGCCATAGATAAAATTTAAATTTTATTATGATTTGAATCTGTAATATTGCGGAAACTATTAAAAAGAATAACTGTACTAACATGTAACGCTGAAAAAAAATATTAAAATAAAATTTGTTATGACTTTCGCTTTCTTTTATTTTTATTTATTTTTATTTTTTTTTCAATCGGCATCATGATATACTGATAACATATGTCAAATTATGATTCCAAAATAACTTATGTCAATTTAGAATTAACATGAATTCCAAAATGACCTATAACATATAAACTGTTATGGCTTATACTGCATCTTTGATCGATAGGCCAAAGTCCATATCCAAATGTTGTCAACGTACTTTTTGTTAATACTAAGTGAAGAGCATAGGCTTTGATTTTAATAGACTTTGGGTAAATACTGTATAAACTCAGTTACCGGTACTGTACGTAATTTTTTTAGAGAGATTATTAGGGATATTTTATTATTCCAGAGAAATAAAATTATTTAGATTTAAATAAATAACATTTCTATATTAAAAATAATAAGGAAATTATTCATTAAAATATATAAAAATAATTGATAGATATTTTTAAATGTTGTAAAAATTTTAAATAACAAATTATAATTTGTAAGGTTTCATAAAAACAACAATTAGATAATTTTAACGAGACTCTGATAATGAACTTTTTAAGTACCTTTATTTTCATAATAAGTGCGGAATATTGAATCATATTATTTGTTTATTAACTTTAACAAATCTAAACAAATAAAAGATAAATTGTTAAAAACAATAATTAAAATACTAGTATAATAATAAATAAATAAACTATTACCTTCGGGTGTAAAGTTATATTTTTGAGTCACGTATCTTTTATCTATTTAATATTTATAAAGCAAAATGTCACGCTTTTTTATTACTTATTTCAGAACAATTATATATGATAGTTACCTATATTAGTTTTATCAACATCACAATTTTTCTCATTGACTGATGAAATAATCGTAGTAATTATTGTTTCTTTGGGAGCGTCTAATTCATTGCAAACGGAGTCATCCAATTCAATGCTGCCATCTTCTTTTTGTTCAGATACAATTTCTCTAGATTTCTCAGGAGAAGCCGATTCTTGAATAATAGTAATTGCAGCATTTTTCTTATGATCTTTTTCAACCTTTTTAGTAATATTATCAACAACATATTTGTCGGTGCAATCTAATATTTCTTTTTCGGCATTAGCGTCTCCAATTTGTTTAGAAAGATATTCGCAAGCCTTGTTATATTTATCTTTCCATAGATTTTCATGTTTTGGTGCGGCAACTTTAAGGTAACTAATTGTAAGTTCTGTTTTCCACCATGGTTCGCATTCTGGTGACTTTAATTTCTTATTATTTGTGCATTTTTTTACTTTAGTTACTACATCTATAGCGGGAATATCTAATTCATTACAAATAGTCTCGCTGATTTCAAAAGATCCATCGTCCTTTTGATTAGTTATTGCATCTTCGCATTTTTCGGGAGTGGTTAAGTCTTGAATTGTAACAACTGAATTTCTCTTTTTATCCTTAATCACCTTCTTTATACAATTTTCAACTACATAATTATCTGCACATTCTATTAGTTCTTTTTCCGCCTCATCATCGCCTATTTGTTTTGAGAGATATTCACGGGCTTTATTATATTTATCTTCCCATTCACCTTTATATTGAGACGCAGCTTTTTTACGATATGATAAATTAATAGCAGTTGCAAGACTTTATGAAAGCTCGGGTGATTTAAGTTTAATATTAGAAATTTTCTTTTGAATTGTTGTAATGACTTCTTCTTTAGGAGCATCTAATTCATTACAAACTGAATCACTTAATTCAATGCAACCATCATCCTTTTGGTCTGAAATAATTTCTTTACATTTTTCAGGAGTGGCTGATTCTTCAACGATAATAAGAGCTTCTGCTTTTTCATGATCGTCATGATCTTCTTTATTAAATGTAAGTGCATTTTCAATCTGATCACCAAGTTTAGTAGCTCTTTCATAAATACCACCGAAAAAGCTTTTATGATCTTTTTTAGGTTCTTTTTCAGGTTCTTTTTTCAGTTCTTTTGGTATTTCATCCTCCTTAATGGCAATCACATCCTCTTTCTGTTCCTCAATTACTTTATTTGTTACGTTATCAACTACATAATTATCAGCACATTCTATTAATTCTTCTTCGGCGGCTTTGTCTCCAATTTGATTAGAAAGATATTCACGGGCTTTATTATATTTATCTTCCCATTCATCTTTATGTTGAGATGCAGCGTTCTTGAGATAAGAAAGATTAATGGCAGTTGCAAGACTTGATGACAATTCGGGCAATTTAAGTTTTGCATTAGTAATGTTCTTTGTAATTGTAGTAATTATTTCTTCTTTGGGAGCATCTAATTCATTACAAACGGAGTCATCCAATTCAATGCTGCCATCTTCTTTTTGATTAGATACAATTTCTCTAGATTTCTCAGGAGAAGCTGATTCTTGAATAATAGTAATTGCAGCATTTTTCTTATGATCTTTTTCAACCTTTTTAGTAATATTATCAATAATATATTTATCCGTGCAATCTAATATTTCTTTTTCGGCATTAGCGTCTCCGATTTGTTTAGAAAGATATTTGAGGGCTGCATTATATTTATCTTTCCATTGATTTTCATGTTTTGGTGCAGCGACTTTGAGGTAGCTAACTGTAAGTGCAGTTTTCCACCATGGTTCGCATTCTGGTGATTTAAGTTTCTCACTTTCTGTGCATTCTGTTACTGTAGTTACTACTTCTGTAACGGGGACATCCAATTCCTTACATATAGTTTCGCTGACTTCGAAAGATCCATCGTTCTTTTGATTAGATACCACATCTTCGCATTTTTCGGGAGTGGTATTGTTTTGAGCGATAACGATTGAATTTCTCTTTTTGTTTTTAATAACTTTCTTTGTACAATTCTCGATTACGTAATCGTCTGCACATTCTAAAAGTTCCTTTTCTGCATCAGCATCGTCTATTTGTTTCGAGAGATATTCACGAGCTTTATTATATTTATCTATCCATTCACCTTTATGTTTAGACGCAGCTTTCTTAAGATATGATAGATTAATAGCAGTTGAAAGAATTGATGGTGATTTAAGTTTATCATTAGTAATTTTCTCTTGAATTGTTGTAATGATCTCTTCTTTAGGTGTATCTAACTCATCACAAACTGAATCACTCAATTCAATGCAACCGTCTTCCTTTTGATCTGAAATAATTTCTTTACATTTTTCAGGAGTGGCTGATTCTTCAACTATAATAAGAGCTTCTGCTTTCTCATGATCATCATGGTCATCTTTATTAAATGTAATAGCATCTTCTATCTGATCACCAAGCTTAGCAGCTGCTTCATAAATGCCACCGAAAAAGCTTTTACCTTTCTTAGATTTAAGTTCTTCCGGTACTTCGTCTTTCTTAAGGGCAATCACCTCTTTTTTCTGTTCCTCAATTACTTTATTTGTAACGTTATCAACTACATATTTATCGGTACATTCTAATAGTTCTTCTTCGGCATCTTTATCCCCAATTTGCTTAGAAAGATATTCACGGGCTTTATTATATTTATCTTCCCATTCACCTTTATGTTGAGACGCAGCATTCTTGAGATACGAAAGGTTAATGGCAGTTGCAAGACTTGATGAAAGATCGGGTAATTGAAGTTTTATATTAGTAATGTTCTTTTTAACTGTAGTAATTATTTCTTCTTTGGGAGCGTTTAATTCATTGCAAACAGAGTCATCCAATTCAATGCTGCCATCTTCTTTTTGTTTAGATACAATTTCTCTAGATTTCTCAGGAGAAGCCGATTCTTGAATGATAGTAATTGCAACATTTTTCTTATGATCTTTTTCAACCTTTTTAGTAATATTATCAACAACATATTTGTCGGTGCAATCTAATATTTCTTTTTCGGCATTAGCGTCTCCAATTTGTTTAGAAAGATATTCGCAAGCCTTGTTATATTTATCTTTCCATAGATTTTCATGTTTTGGTGCGGCAACTTTAAGGTAACTAATTGTAAGTTCTGTTTTCCACCATGGTTCGCATTCTGGTGACTTTAATTTCTTATTATTTGTGCATTTTTTTACTTTAGTTACTACATCTATAGCGGGAATATCTAATTCATTACAAATAGTCTCGCTGATTTCAAAAGATCCATCGTCCTTTTGATTAGTTATTGCATCTTCGCATTTTTCGGGAGTGGTTAAGTCTTGAATTGTAACAACTGAATTTCTCTTTTTATCCTTAATCACCTTCTTTATACAATTTTCAACTACATAATTATCTGCACATTCTATTAGTTCTTTTTCCGCCTCATCATCGCCTATTTGTTTTGAGAGATATTCACGGGCTTTATTATATTTATCTTCCCATTCACCTTTATATTGAGACGCAGCTTTTTTACGATATGATAAATTAATAGCAGTTGCAAGACTTTATGAAAGCTCGGGTGATTTAAGTTTAATATTAGAAATTTTCTTTTGAATTGTTGTAATGACTTCTTCTTTAGGAGCATCTAATTCATTACAAACTGAATCACTTAATTCAATGCAACCATCATCCTTTTGGTCTGAAATAATTTCTTTACATTTTTCAGGAGTGGCTGATTCTTCAACGATAATAAGAGCTTCTGCTTTTTCATGATCGTCATGATCTTCTTTATTAAATGTAAGTGCATTTTCAATCTGATCACCAAGTTTAGTAGCTCTTTCATAAATACCACCGAAAAAGCTTTTATGATCTTTTTTAGGTTCTTTTTCAGGTTCTTTTTTCAGTTCTTTTGGTATTTCATCCTCCTTAATGGCAATCACATCCTCTTTCTGTTCCTCAATTACTTTATTTGTTACGTTATCAACTACATAATTATCAGCACATTCTATTAATTCTTCTTCGGCGGCTTTGTCTCCAATTTGATTAGAAAGATATTCACGGGCTTTATTATATTTATCTTCCCATTCATCTTTATGTTTAGAAGCAGCTTTCTGAAGATATGAAATATTAATGGCGGTTGCAAGGCTTTTTGATAACTCAGGTGTTTTAAGCTTATTATTAGTAATTTTCTTCTGAATTATTTTAATGACATCTTCTTTAGGAACATCTAATTCATTACAAATTGAATCATTTAATTCAATACTATCATTATCTTTTTTGGCTGAAATAATTCTTTTGCATTTTTCAGGAGTGACTGATTCCTCAACGACAATAAAAGCTTCTGCTTTTTCGTGATCTTCATGGTCGTCTTTATTAAATGTAAGGGCATCCTCAATCTTATCACCAAGTTTGGCAGTTGCTTTATAAACCGCACCGAAAAGACTTTTTTTGGGTTCTTTTTTAAGTTCTTCTTTTTTTATGGGTTCAATAATTAAGTCTTCGTCTTTGATAGTTTTGGCACTTTCGAAATCCGTAGAACTATCTAAATAATCTTATAACCCAACAATGTAAACAATAAGTATAACGCAATAACTTTGATATTTTATGAACATAAATAAGATCTGAATTAAATACCTTGGTATGGAGCATCTAATTCAAGAACATCATCGTTAATCTTGTATTGATTAATCACAAAGATCTTGGAAGATCCATAAAGCTTTCGTTCGATATGAGGATTTTTAATTTGTGAACTTATCCATTTATATAATGTATCGCAATCGGTAGACCACTGATCACGATGATCGACAGCTACCAAACGGAGATACCATATCGATATTGCAGTGATTAAAATATCACTATGAAGTTTCGATACGTCCTCAGAAAGAAAATGAATTCGTAATGCTGCTTCTAGGGACTCTTTATTTAGGAATCCAAGATGTTGGGCAATATTGTCGTCAAGTTGATAATGATCTTTCTTTGTACAACAAGTTATGAAATCTTTAACAGTTTTATCATTAGTAGTTTCTCGGCTAACAATATTACCGGATAAAGAAATGTTCTTCCGTCTGTTGCGTCCTAAATTCAGGATAAAAAAAAATATATTCAAAAAACATAACTGTGGAATTTAAAAATAAAGATTATTTAAAATGGTAAACATACTTTTTTCTCGTCTCTTTGTTTCGTTTTCTTCTTCTTTCCTAGCTACATCTTTAGTCTTAACAGCTGTAATAAAGCTATTATCAGCTTCAATAGCATCTTTATCAACTTCATATCTTGAAACAATAAAATCCCTAGCACATCTCATGATTTCATTCTCAAGTTCAGTATCTCCGTTACATTGTTTTGTTAACCATTCAGATAACTTTTCATAATTAGAAATCCATTCAAGTCGATGATCAACAGCAACTAAACGTAGATACCAAATAGTGCATGCAGTAACCCAAACGTTATAATGAATTTTGGTTACACGCTCTGTTTTAAAGTATTTTTTCAAATGTTTTAGAAATACTTTGACACTTTTGAAACCATAGTAATCAGCGACCTTTTCATTTAGAACAATACAACCATCTTCATTTTGATGGTTAATAAGCGTACGAATATAACGAATGGTGATAAACTTTCGTGTAATAATTGTGTGTTTTACTAAAAAACGATAATAATAATAATAGAAATGTCAAATAACCCATTTTCATTAAAAATTAAAAAAACCAACATTATAGATAGATGCGTAATTTTACCTGGAGTTATAATTTCCAATTGAGCTTTATCAAGTTTTTGAATGTTAATTTTGAAATGAGCAATAAAGAACTTTCTACATAAATCGTATAATCGATCTTCGATTTCAACGTTGTTAATTTCTCTACTGACCCACGCTTCACTATCCTCGATAATATGTCTCCATTCATCATAATATTCCCAACACAAACCTTTGAAATATGTAATCGTAAGAGCTGTAGACCATATCGTCAAGTCATAATTTAAAAGGTCTTTGTCTGAAGATACATGCTTTGTGAAACTTTCTTTCAATTCGTCACATGATCTATAATTAAAGAAACGCGCCAATTTATCAGAAAATTCAAAAGATCTATTTGTGTTACGCCAGCTGATAAGAATATACAAATGTTGGGGTTTAATGGATTCTCCAGTAAAAACAAAATCATCGCCTTCGGTGAAGGAGGTAGGGAAAAATTGATATTGTAAGTTTAATTTTCCTTTAACTGGCTTATTACCAATTTGAAGTGAGACCCACTCATCCATAAGTTTAGGTTCTTCATCACTTTGAACTAAAACGCTAGTGTCCAATACGTAGGTACCAAGAGATTTATCCGCTATAAAACGATTTTCATCAAAAATTTCAAATGAAATTTTTTCTCCTGGACCACGAATTGCAACAAAATAAATTTCATTCCAAACTGGATTAGCAGTTCTATAGTTAACACTAGTGCGAACCATTTCATTTCCGGCAGCATTAAAAATGCGAATGTACGGATCCGGATTAGAAAAGGTAAACCAATTATCAGATTTTCTAAGATCTTTAGCACACTTAACACCGATTTTAACTATTCCAACAACCTCATCATTAGAGACAAATTCCTCTATTTCCTGAGGTTCTTCATCTACAAAATTAGCTCTTCGACCATACTGAATTTCCTTGAAAGTTTCGTCTTCTTGTATAGCACCCTGATCAACCTCAAATCTTTTAACAACAAATATTCTAGCAGCCTCAAGAAGTTCTTCCCGCACATCATCACCTTTCACTTGTTGACAAAGCCAATTATACGCTTTTTGGTGTGATTCTACCCATTCACTTCGGAAATCAACTAATACATATCGAAGATACCAAATCGAAATAGCAGTACTCCAAACATTAGCATCCAATTGAGCAATTCTTGGTGAGTAAGATGAGAAATGTTTTTTTGCTTTTTCAACAGAGTTCAAGCCTAAAGATTTGGTCAATTTGAGTGATAAATTAGAAACAACCAGATCACTTCTTGTAAATGATGAACTGACAAACAATACCTTCTTCAAATAACTTTTGGTAATAATTTGGTAAAAAATAGTTTATTAAAATATATGTTTAAAATAAAATATAATATCAAGCATACTTGTTCATTTTTCTTGTCTTGTATTAGATTTATTTCAGTTTGGAAATCTATAAAATATGCAAATAATATATTTGATTATTGGCAAGTTTGTTGTGATTAGAGATATATTTTAATTTACCAGGTACGGTTAAACTGGAATCTATTTTTTTTTTAATCGAGTATTTTTTTTTTTTGAGGATAAAAAAAAAATTTTAATTTAAAAATAATAAGGCCATTTATAACCATTTATTACTATCATTTGCTCATTTTACCATATGTATAATTCTGGGTAATTGCCTTTTTTAGTTAAAAATATTAGGTTAAAAATAAAATGTTATAAAATAAAATGTTATAATACTATATCAAGCATACTTGTTCATTTTTCTTATCTTGTATTATATCTACAGACTTGGATGTTTGAGCCTCGTTGGCATTATTAAGAAGATCAAAGCCTAGTTCAAGCAAGTATTGCTCACACGCTGAGAATAATTCTTTCTCTAATTCGGAATCATTTATTTGGTTAGTCACCCAATTTGTGGCACGTTCGTGTGCAGGTTTCCACTCAGGTTCACAATTATTTAACACTATATTAAGGTATGTGATCGTAAATGCTGTATTCCAAACGGAGGCATCACACCCTCTTAAACGAGGGCTGCGAACATAACGTTTAATAGGTTCACCAACATATACTGCTGGAATCTGAAGATGTTCTGAGATTAAAGTATGAAGTGCGAATGATCCATCATTTTCTTGAGAAGAGGTAAGAGTACGTGGATAGTCTGGACTAGTTTGAGAACGAAGGAACTCATACACAGCTTTTTTAGTTTCTTCATCTGCCACAAGTGTAATGACTTGAATAGTCTCGCCTTTAACTACTGATCGTCTCTTAGAAAGACGTGGTTGTTTATTTTTTTCATTAAGGATATCGATGCCTTGTTTGATTATGAATTGATCGCATGCTGAATATAATTCTTCTTCTTCTTCAGGGGTTTTGCATTGTTTACTAATCCATGCTTCCGCACGTTCACACGCAGGCCGCCATTCTTGTTCGTAGTCAGCCAACACAATTCTTAAATATTTGATTGTAAGAGCTGTACACCAAATAGGAGAATCACAACTTCTCAATAATGTGCTACCTACAAAACTCTTGAGAGTATCAACAGCATTGTCAATTGAATGGATTTTAAGATGGTCAGAAATTGACCGGTGTAGAGTGAATGAGCCATCATCTGCTTGAGAGTTGCAAATTGTCTGAGCAACTTCCGCTGTGACATCATCACGAAGACTTTTGTGAATGGCTTCACGTGTTTCATCGCTAACTTGAATAACAACAACATTGACCTCTTCTTCGGTCACATTTTTTATTCCACCTTGATTGTTAATAAACTCAATACCTAATTGAATTAAGTATTGCTCGCAAGCCGAGTATAATTCCTTTTCTGCTTCAGCATCATCAATTTGCTCAGTTATCCAGGCACTGGCACGATCATAAGCACTGCGCCATTCTTCTTCATGGTCCGCCAAAACAAATTTAAGGTAATAAATAATAAAAGCTGTATGCCAAATTGAATCAGCACAAGTTCTAAGTTTTAGACTACCAACATAACGTTTAAGAGATTCAACATCACAAGGAATTAATAGTTGTGATGTGTTCAAAGTATTTAGGGAAAATGAGCCATTGTTTTCTTGAGCAGAGCAAAGTGACTGAGCAATATCTGCTGTACCATAAGTGCGTATGGTATCTAAAAATATTTTACGAGTTTCGTCGTCTACGTTAAGTTTAAGAATCTCGTAATTTTTTGGATCCGCTTTAATTGAATAAATACAACGGCAACCTTGTTCAATTAAGAATTGTTTACACGCAGAAAATAATTCTTTCTCGAGTTTTGCGTCATTGATCTGTTCAGATAGCCATTTTCTGGCACGATCCTTGGCATCGCGACATTCATTTTCGTAGTTTAATAATACAACTTCAATGTAATAGATTGTAAAAGCTGTGCACCAAATAGAATCATCACATCCTCTCAGTCGAGGATTACCAACGAAACGCTTAAGGGATTTAATAGCGTCAACTGGTTCTATACCAAGATGGTTGGTTATTTGAGAATGTAAAGTAAAGGAACCGTCATCTTGCTGTGCACCACAAATTACGCGAGCAGTTTCGTCATTGACAGAGGAACGTAAACCTTCGTGAACTGCCTGAAGGGTTTCATCAGTGAAATCAAGTCTAGTAACGTAAACGTTTTCTTGAATATTATAACGAATAGCTTTCTCATTAGCTCGATCAACCACATATTTATTAGTACACTTCAATAATTCATTTTCAATATCCTTATCATCAATTTGTTTAGACAGATATTCTCGGGCTTTGATATATTTGTCTTTCCATTGATCTTCATAATGAGGTGCGGCAACTTGTAGGTAACTAATTATAAGTGCTGTTTTCCACCAAGAATCTGATTCTGGAGATTGGAGTTTCTCGTTAGTAGTACTCGATTTGAGTGTAGTCACAATATCTTCTTTAGGGACATCCAATTCTTCACTAATAGTCTCATTTAATTCAAGGGATCCATCATCTTTTTGATTAGATAAGGCAGTTTTATATTTGTCGGGAGTCGTTGATGTTTGGAGATGTACAATTGCAGACCTCTTTTTATCTTTAATGGCTTTTTTAGCGCAATTGTCAATTACGTAATTATCTGTAAATTCTAACAGTTCTTTCTCTGCATCGGCATCTCCTATTTGATTTGTGATATATTCACGGGCTTTATTATATTTATCATCCCATTCACCTTTATGTTGAGGTGCAGCATTTTTAAGATATGATAGGTTAAGAGCGGTTGCAAGGATTGATGGAAAATTAGGTAATTTAAGTTTGCTATTTGTAATGTTCTTTTGAATCGTGGTAATAATTTCTTCTTTTGGAAGATCTAATTCCTTGCATATTGTTTCATTTAATTCAATACGACCATCATCACCTGCTGTGGAAGTAATAGCTTTGCAGATTTCAGGAGTAATAGATGTTTGAGTGATGATGACTTTTTCCGATTGATCTGGTTCTTTGTCATCTGAAATAATATCTTCGATATGTCTATCGAGAATAAGAGAGCGAGCCGTTTCGTAATGTTCAGCAACCGGTTCTTCTTCAGGAATACCTCTGTCTTTAGGTTCCGGTTCTTCTTTAAGAATGCTTTCTTTCGGTTCTGGAGGAATACTTCTATCTTTAGATTTTGAAGGAATGTTTCCTTCTTGAAGTTCTGGTTCTTCGTCAAAAACGCTTCCTTCAGTATTTTTTTCAGGTTCCGGTTCTTTATAAACACCGCCGAAATGGCTTTTATGTTTTGCGCTTTTTGGCGTTTGAATTATTTCTTCAGGACTGCTTTCAATATCTTTTTCAGGTTCAGGGTCTTTATAAACACCGCCAAAGTGGCTTTTTCCTTTAGGTTTTGTGGTTTTTGGTGTTTCAGGTTCTTTCTTTTTTTCAGATTCATCATCATAAATGCCACCGAAAAAGCTTTTACCCTTTCTAGGTTTAGTTGCTTTAAGTTCTTTCGGTATTTCATCTTCTTTTTGAGCTATAACATCCTTTTTCTGTTCCTCAATTACTTTATTTGTTATTTTATAAACTACATATTTATCAGTACATTCTAACAGTTCTTCTTCGGCGTCTTTGTCTCCAATTTGCTTAGAAAGATATTCACGGGCTTTATTATATTTATCTTCCCATTCACCTTTATGTTGAGGTGCGGCGTTTTTAAGATAAGAAAGATTAATAGCAGTTGCAAGGCTTGGTGAAAATTCGGGCAATTGAAGTTTTGCATTAGTAATGTTCTTTTTAATTGTAGTAATTATTGTCTCTTTGGGAACGTCTAATTCATTGCAAACGGAGTCATCCAATTCAATGCTGCCATCTTCTTTTTGATTAGATATAATTTCTCTAGATTTCTCAGGAGAAGCTGATTCTTGAATAATGGCAATTGCAGCGGCTTTCTTATGATCATCTTCAACCTTTTTAGTAATATTATCAACAACATATTTATCAGTACATTCTAATAATTCTTTTTCAGCATTAGCGTCTCCGATTTGTTTAGAAAGATATTCGAGAGCTTTATTATATTTATCTTTCCATTGATTTTCATGTTTTGGTGCAGCGACTTTGAGGTAACTAATAGTAAGTGCAGTTTTCCACCATGGTTCGCATTCTGGTGATTTAAGTTTCTCATTTTCTGTGCATTCTGTTACTGTAGTTACTACTTCTGTAACGGGGACATCTAATTCTTTACATACAGTTTCAGGGACTTCGAAAGATCCATCATCATTTTGATTAGATACCACATCTTCGCATTTTTCGGGAGTGGTCGAGTCTTGAATTGTAACTACTGCATTTCTCTTTTTATCTTTAATCACCTTCTTTGTACAATTTTCAACTACATAATTATCTGCACATTCTATAAGTTCTTTTTCTGCATTAGCATCTCCAATTTGTTTTGAGAGATATTCACGAGCTTTATTGTATTTATCTCTCCATTGATCTTCATGTTGAGAGGCAGCATTTTTAAGATATGATAGATTAATAGCAGTTGAAAGAATTGATGGTGATTTAAGTTTATCATTAGTAATTTTCTCTTGAAATGTTGTAATGACTTCTTCTTTAGGAGCATCTAATTCATTACAAACTGAATCATTTAATTCGATGCAACCGTCATCCTTTTGGTTTGAAATAATTTCTTTACATTTTTCGGGAGAGGCTGATTCTTCAACGATAACAAGAGCTTCCGCTTTTTCATGATCGTCATGATCTTCTTTATAGAATGTAATTGCATTTTCAATCTGATCACCAAGTTTAACAGCTGCTTCATAAATACCACCGAAAAAGCTTTTACCCTTTTTAGGTACTTTTTTAAGTTCTTTAGGTATTTCATCTTTCTTGAGAGTAATCACTTCTTCTTTATGTTCTTCGATTATTTTATTTGTTGCTTTATCAACTACATAATTATCAGCACATTTTATTAATTCTTCTTCAGCGTCCTTATCCCCAATTTGCTTAGAAAGATATTCACGAGCTTTATTATATTTATCTTCCCATTCGCCTTTATGTTGAGACGCAACATTCTTAAGATACGAAAGATTGATAGCAGTTGCAAGAGCTGACGAAAATTCGGGCAATTTAAGTTTTGGATTAGTGACTTTCTCTTTGATAGTAGTAATTATTTCTTCTTTAGGAACATCTAATTCATTGCATACTGAATCATCCAATTCAATACAGCCATCATCTTTTTGATTAGATACAATTTCTCTGGATTTTTCAGGGGAAGCTGATTCTTGAATAATGGCAATTGCAGCGGTTTTCTTATGATCATCTTCAACCTTTTTAGTAATATTATCAACAACAAACTTGTCGGTGCAATCTAAAATTTCTTTTTCGGCATCAGCGTCTCCAATTTGTTTAGAAAGGTATTCGCAAGCTTTGTTATATTTATCTTTCCATAGATTTTCATGTTTTGGTGCGGCGACTTTAAGATAACTAATAGTAAGTGCTGTTTTCCACCATGGTTCGCATTCTGGAGATTTAAGTTTTTTATTTTTTGTGGATTTTTTTACCGTAGTTACTACATTTGTAGCGGGAATATCTAATTCATTACAGATAGTCTCGCTGATTTCAAAGGATCCATCGTCCTTTTGATTAGATACTGCATCTTCGCATTTTTCGGGAGTGGTCGAGTCTTGAATTGTAACTACTGCATTTCTCTTTTTATCTTTAATCACCTTCTTTGTACAATTTTCAACTACATAATTATCTGCACATTCTATAAGTTCTTTTTCTGCATTAGCATCTCCAATTTGTTTTGAGAGATATTCACGAGCTTTATTATATTTATCTCTCCATTGATCTTCATATTGAGATGCAGCATTTTTAAGATATGATAAATTAATAGCAGTTGAAAGAATTGATGGTGATTTAAGTTTATCATTAGTAATTTTCTCCTGAATTGTTGTAATGACTTCTTCTTTAGGAGCGTCTAATTCATTACAAACTGAATCATTTAATTCGATGCAACCGTCATCCTTTTGGTTTGAAATAATTTCTTCACATTTTTCAGGAGAGGCTGATTCTTCAACAATAACAAGAGCTTCCGCTTTTTCATGATCGTCATGATCTTCTTTATTGAATGTAAGTGCATCTTCAATCTGATCACCAAGTTTAACAGCTGTTTCATAAATACCACCGAAAAAGCTTTTACCCTTTTTAGGTACTTTTTTAAGTTCTTTAGGTATTTCATCTTTCTTGA